CTTAAACACCTGAAGGGATGGGGACTCCACCCCCTCCCTGGGCAGCCCATCCCAATGCCTAATGACCCCTTCTGGGAAGAAATGCCTCCTCATTTCTAGCCTGAACTTCCCCTGGCGCAGTTTCAGACGATGCCCTCTTGTCCTGTCACAAGTTGCCTGGGAGAAGTTGCCTGCCCCCACTTTGCTACAAGAAGGACCCTGGGGAACACATGAACGTGGCTCAGGGCTGGGGGAGCCCTGCAAGTCTCCCCTTCCCTTCAGTCCCTTTGCTCACCCACACCTCCTCTCCCCACCGTCGTGCATCGGCCACCAGGCTACTGAGAAAACGCACCTTTCAAACAGACCTCAGTTCTGCACGGAGCAGGGTCATGTCAAAACAAGCACGGGGAGCTCAGCTGTTTTCAAGCTGAATTCTCTGCCTAAGTTTACTTGAGGCTGCACAAGAGCAAACCCTGCCGTACAGCGGCACGCACCAGCCTGCCTCCACCAAGCGCTTCTGCGCTCCAGGTAACCCTCCTCGCCCTCCTGCCTTTGGCTCCAGCGGAGCCAGGCACCACGCACATCCAGCTCCTCTGCTTCGCCTGCCCAGCCCTTCCCCCAGAAGGGAAAAAAAAACAAACCCAAACCCAAAACTAATCTGTAACTCAGACTTCTGCAGGGCCAGCTGAATCCTTACCTCACAGGGTTAATTAACCCTACGGAGCAGCAATTGTTAAGCAAACAAACTTCCTGGAGAAGCTAGAGATTTTAAAGTCTTTTGCCAAATATATTCAGCTTTTTAAAGATCTGACTGCGCAACAGTTTAATCACATGGGAGTTCAACAGTTAAATACTATAATTTAAATATAACATCACAAACCTGGAGAGGATCTGGGACATCAGGGAGGGGAGGGGGGCCCTGAAGCATCGCTGGGGCTCTGATGAGCCAGAGCCAAGCTCTGCCGGGCGGGCTGCGGGCGGCGCAGGAAGCGATGGGCTTCTCCGCCAGGAGCACATGACAGACAGCAGGGAAGCATCCAGCACTCTCAGATGGTCTGGCACGGACATTTTCTAGCTAGCGCTAGATGATCCGTCCTGAAACCCCTTTTCTTCCCCGCTCAGTCTCTCCACATCTCCCTTTAAGCCCTGAGTCCCAGCCAACCCCTCACTTCTACAGACAGAGCAGTTAAAGGGAAGCATCTTCTCCTCCCTGCCCCAATCATTCCCATGTCATCTGGAGCATTTTCCCACTTCATCCTGCTACGGGGTATGTCCAGCCTGGTATCAAAGGGGAGACACAGGGGTTCTCTGACTCACTAGCCCATGAGAAACCCAGTGATAACCAGGTTACAAGGCACTGGTATAAAGTGTCAGGCACTTTAATGATGAATGTAATTTTAGTACTTCGTTTTTCCTTTAGCTTTTAAAGTTAAACCGGGTCTGTCACACCCATTTGCACACACTCCTCTGGAGCACAAGCGCAGGGGGTAAAATACGGGGCTCTGCCTGAACTTTAGAGCCAGTATCCGTATTTCACTGTAGCAGGACGGCATGTGAGCATTTGTAAGCACAACTGTTTGGACCCCAGTCAATTTACAGTCTCCTGGGAAAGCTTTTCTTTCTGTCAGCACGTAAGAAACTAACACACTTTGACTGCAAAGATTGCATTGGGCTCCATACATTCCTCAGAGACTACTTTTGCCCCAAGTCTCCCTTGAAGCAGGACGCTTCTTTTTTTGTTAATACAGAAGCTGATGGAAGTTGACTAATGCTGTTAGCTATCTTTTGATCGGACTCGATTTGGCAGAAATTGAAATAATCTGCCAGAAGAAAACTAAAGTACTACTATAAAAACGTACTCCAAGATTGAATTATTTTGGTTTCAGAAGCGGAAAAACATTGCTTTGCATGCATCTGTGTGGTGACAAACACACAAAGTACCTTGAGGCATTTAGGTACAAACCCTCATCAGTGACCGCCTTCGCTGGAACACAGAGCAGCAGAGTTCGGCTCCCCACAGTGCAATATCCCTAAAAGACATCCCAAGAGGCTGCCGGCCGTTTTTGCTTATGATGCACAGTACCATGTCATGGAAAAGACAGAAGTGTGCATGTTGAGACTGGACTTCTGTTTGAATTAGGGATGGTGAAACTTCTTGCGCACAGATACCGACAATAAATACAGACTAATTATCTGTTCTCTCACCCAAATCCAGCTGCATAGATCTCATTTACACGCAAGCTTCTTAGTGAGTCAAATCAATTCCGAATCTTTTACCTAGAGTCAGGTTATCTGTTAGGAAGGTAGAACGGAGGCTCCACGATCCAGCCACACGAAACATGCCTGCCTTTAATACAAGTTTTGTATAAAACACACCTCAAAATAGTTTGAAAGGAACTGACCCCGGTGGCCCACGCCAGGCTCTCACAGACAAGACGAAGCAGCGGATGCATCTAGCAGGCAATCAGCTGCACGCGTCCAGCCTCCCCTCACGCTGGCTAGCAGTTCCCAGACCTTCTGGATGAACACATTTCCATTACCTCCACAGCTCTGTATACCCACGCCAAAACAAAACGATGTTCATAAACGCGACTAGTTAGCTGCCCATACTGTTTTGACAGTTACTGATCACAGGCTTGTCTGGAAGCAAAGACAGACACGAGAACAAAGCGATGAAGTCTGTGAGCACCGCTCGAAGGTTACTTGAAGAGAACCCGCCTCACAAACCTTACCTGTGCCAAGGATGCTCCACTTCCTTTTTTTAGCTCTGAGAAGTTCTCGCTCAGTTTTCCTCCCTTGTTACTTGAGTTGCATTTATAGCACATCCACCTCATCAGGCCTTTAGTTACCGTCCCACACTCTTTACTCAGCAGACACAGCGAATGATACAAGTGGCCACAGCTGTAAAGAGAAGAATTCTGCTCGGTGCTTGAAAGCAAGGTAACACAGCCTGACAGCCCTACACTCTGGAGGGGAAAAATCGCCGGTCAATGGAAAAGGTGGCTGCTTATCTGTAAATACAGACCAGCAGCGTATAGACACTCCCTTCGTACCTCCACACCCCCCTGTAGTATTTCTAGGCTTGCAACAATAACAGTAGATGCCCATTCAGTTACAGATCATAATGCTAAGGTAATAACAAGCTTGTCTTATTTTACAGCCAGGAATATTGGAGATGCCAACAGAGTACGTAGTCGGGGCTGCAGCAGATCCGAGATATACAAATACAGGCAAATGAACCCAGGATGCTGCAACTGCACAAACGGCGTTGCTGGGAGAGATGACAGATAAACTGACAGCTTACTGAAGAGCTCTCCCAGAACTGTAAGGTGATTCTTTCCAGCCAAGACGGGGCTGGCTGCATGCAAAGGCAGCTGGCTCTGCTGGCTTTGACTAGCCAGCCCTTTTACAGTGCAAGGGAGCAAGGATACATAGGATTACTTCTGCAAATCAAAAAGCAGGTGGTGGTTGTTTGGTTGTTTTTTTTCCTTTTAAAGCTTCTAACACGATCACAGCTGTGACCTTACCCCTTAACTTTACCTGAAAACAATGATTTCATCAGCAGTTTCCTGCCTTCTTTTGTACTGCTGTAGACAAATGCAGCAGTAATCCTGCTTTGGGGTAAGCCCTCTAGTGACAGAAGCTCTTAGGTTACACAGGGACCAGTGGAGATCGTGGTTTAAAAGATTCGTAGTTGTCTCTAAAAGGGTCTGTGTGGAAGACAATATACAGAATAACTAGGTCATTTGGTCATCTCCAGACTGCAGACACACGCTGATCAATTCTTCATAACAAGCAGCTTAGCAGATTACTAAGAGCAAAACCAACCCAACAAAATTGCTTCTCTTTATACGTTTTCTAGCCACTGCCCTTGAAATACTTATCCTTTCATCACATGTTAATGGAGGCAATACCTTTTCACTCTTAAATAGATAAGTCCTTTATTGATTTTTGTCAAAGAGCATGAGAAGAAACACAGTAGGCTCATGTTGTCACCTTCCATACCAGACCCCCCTTTTTCTCCATTTACCTAGCAACCTACTACTCACTTCCCCCATTTTAGGAGAAACATGCCTATAAAAATCAAAGCCCAAATGCATTATCACAATTAAAATGTTAAAAACCCCACTTCTCATCTGCTAGTTCTTCCCAACTGAGGTTGCCATTTCTGAAGAGCCAAAATAAAATACCCTTAGTTTTTAGTGGTCAGTGCTTCTTTCGGCAACAAACGTATCAGACAGAGGTGCTCTGGCTCACGATCTATCGATGCTCTGTAGCAGCAACTCACAAAAGGCTGCAGAGGTTGCACCAGTGGTTCACATTTGGCCTAGTCCAGATGTGACATGCGGCCTGTACCAGACAACTGCCAGGCAGTGACAGAGGACCTGTGCTGCTCAGAGGAGACCTTTACCAAGAACTCAAACACAGATAATGGCTCTTTATGTTCAGCCCTCTACAGTAAAGCTATTTCCCATTTTATTTTTAAATTGGACGCGGCTGCACGGAGGCCTGAGCAGTAGCTAGGATGGTAGTGCTATATGGTAGGCAGAACAAGGGAGGGTGAGTTTGGAGGAAGACTATGCATTCTGTTTTGGGGAAAAGGAGCTTCAGAAAACTGTCGAACTTTGGAGACTGCCTGAGATTTGAGACTGGATAGGGAGAGGCAGGAGTGAGATAAAGGTGAAATCTCATCAGGTGACAAAGGAAGTGCAGCATTACCATTGGGAAGCGGCAAAACAGCCTGATTTAAAGAACTAAAATGCATAAAAAGATAAAACATACCGGGTTTGTCCCTTTGAATCCCTAACTGCAGGATGGGATGGAGAAAAAGCAGATGTTTATCCTTCCAGTACATTTAACATAAAACTGAACAACAAAGGTGTTCGCTGTGTACCTGTCAGTCCCTTCACTTGTAATCTGTCTGTGAGCAATACAAACTCATTCCCCTTCCCCCAGTGACAAAAGCATAAATCACTTGCATGTCCATCTACTTTGCAGAGAGAAATGGCGAGTGAGAGAGAGTAGTAGGCTAGACAGCTCAAAGTAATCCCTGTATACAGCAGTGGACAAGAACAGAAACGCATGCAACTTACTTGTTCATAGTTAAAAGTGTCCAGCATTCCCAGGACAAGTCCTTGAATTTCTCCAAGTTTCCCTTTTCCATAAACTGGATCCTGTATGAACAAAGGAAAAGCTGCAGCTGAATCACAGGATATGACCATTCTGGCTTTTACTTGATCTTTTTTTTCTTCCTCCAGATTGGCATTGCAAATGGAAGTTATGACTCCAGATTTAAAGATGCTGTACGTGCACAAGGACAGTAGAATAATCCTATGTATTGATGGGAAAATTGGCAATTAGCAAACCTGAGCAGATGACAACATCAATCTAGTTACTGTGCTTGGGTGACAAGACTTCAAATATGACCTTGGAAGTTTCATTCAGGAGGAGCAAGAGCTGACTGGAGATCACATTCGAGGAATAGCAAAGAAAACAGCAGAAAACACCCTGCAGCAACACAGGAGGTATCAGCTCTGTCTGTGCCGCCGCTTGGCCCCCACTGCTACGGGTGTCTGCTGGTCAGCGAGCTCCTGGGCTGCCTGCCGCGCCCCAGGCCCCACGCTGGCAGCGTGCTTTTGCCCAAGTCAGAGGGTAACTCACTCTGCAGTCGCTGTGCATCCACAGGTCACCCCCAAGCTCATTCAACACCCCCTCAGCTGCTCTTCTGTTGCTGCAGAGGCGATTTCCACGTGCCCTCAGCAGCTTTATTTCCATGTCCCAGCAGCACAAGGGAAGGGTTGTGGTACAAGTCATTGCTCCGGTGCATCTCAACCAGGATCCTTCGGCCTGCTCCAAACCAAACGTCCTCTTCTCCTCCACACCCACCCTGGCACCCTCTGAAGCATTGCTCAGTGCAGGACAGGAACCCTGGTCTGGGATGCATCTCCCTGGTCTGGGATGAGCTTAGCAAGGAGCCCTTTGGGAGCTGCTCTCCATGGCAGTGCACAGCCTCTCAAACAGGCAGATGGGCAAAACGCTGGAAGAGGGGGGAGCCTTTGCCAACGTCCTTCCCTCCTGCCAGGCCCTGTTGCACAAGAGAGCAGGCTCCTGCTCACGGGTGCACCGGACCATGCTAGGAAATACCTCTGCCCCACCACCAGCACGGTGACACTTTGCTGACAGCTCCTACCGACCACAAGCGCTAGCAGCCATCAGTGCTACGGTCTCCTGGGCAGAATTGACCCTGAAAGATCTCTGCATGGAGTTGCAGAGGTGCCCTGCCCCTGCCAACATGCAACATGGCATCACTTCCAACACGCATGTGCCAGGAACACAACTTCCTCCTACCTGTCTTTGCTGCAGCAGCAAGGTCGGACTAGAACGCAACACAGGGATGTTTTGCTAAAGAAGATGCCCTGCAGGCTGTTGGCCAACCGGCTGGGATCCAGCCAGTCTTAGTGCCTTTAACATAAATGGGAAGCAAGGAAGAGGGGTGGGTTAATAGCAGGATCTACTACGGGCTACTGCAGTGGTGTGATCCACATCGTGCAGCCCAGCTTCATTCTCTCCCTGTGGCCTTGACAGTCTGATCTGCCAAAGAGCAAGGCTGTGCCCTCCTCGCCCCAAACTGGCACCAGCGAGGCACGCACATGCCTGTAATCACAACGAGT